ACTAAATGGGGTTAATGACCATATTTAAGTTCTTACCGCGAGAAGGTTCGGTGATAGGTACACTAGGTGCAATAACAGGCGGGGGTTCAACTTCAAGCAATTGACTGTCAAGAACCTCCTGTTCTAATTCTTCTAATTCAGCCGTTAGCTCATCCTGTGTTTTTAAAAGGGATATTAAATTCCATTACCAAATGGAAAATAGACTGATAATTATATATCTAGAAGAGAAAAAGATGCAAACATCATCTAAATCGACTCCGATCATGGGTGCAGAAATCGCATTTGAAATTTCATCAGCCAAATCCATATTCTCACGGACAGAATCCATTATATCATCTACTTTATTTATATCCCTTTTAAAAATAAAGGTTATCGACAATTTAATAATTTATATACAGTCATACAAACGTAGATGAATTAAAGACGTACATAGATCCGTGTATTGCTTTCATTGCTTCAGCACCACTTTCCATTGCCTTAATAGTTTCAAGATTAACATTTGCACTTTCAATTGCCATAACTTGAGCCTCGATTGTAATACGTGCACCACCGATCTTTTCAATCTGACTTTCGTATTGTTTTTTTCGCTTGAGTGCCATCAAGGCAGCTGTGAAACGAAACGAAAATTAAAATTATTGGTCAAATTAACAAGTATAGTAAAACATAATAAAATATAGGATTTGAAAACACGAAAAATATATAGAATAACATAAATCTAGTACTATACTGCACACTAATCAAATAATATTAACCGCTTCCCTTAAGTTAAGCGTGCAACGCTAAAAAGCCAAATTATGTTGAGAGTAATTGGCGATCCTTGAAAAAAACTTTCCAAAGCTGTTGAACATACCTCTTTTGTTAGAAGTTGCATTGGATTTTGCAAGTTTAAGTTCACTGTCGATCTTATTCTGTAGGTGATTTTCTCGCTTTTCAAGCATTTGCAATGTTTCTCTAAGGCGAACAATAGCATCTTTAGCGTTCGCTTTAGGTTTTTGCTTTGGGAAAAAGAGGTTCATCTTGGCAAAAAGTTTTAAATAGCTAAATCTTAAAAAATGAATATAATAGATAGTAAAGCCGCGCAGTAAAAGGCGAGCAGATAACCGAACTATCTTCTGTTATTGTGAAAAGAATAGTGATAGTCACAATTGTGTTCATGAGATCAGCACAATTAAAAATCCATCTGATTGGTTGTTGACAAATTTCGTTTCGTCAACTGTTATTATAGAAGTTACCACAGAGAATAAGTGCATCCTAGATAATAAATGCATCCTTCTACGTAAAATTTCTTTAAATATCACTATATATATATTATAAATGCACACCTTTTCAAAGTGCAAATCTTGAATTTTTATAATATAATTGATTGTTTTCTTTGTTTTTTTTTTATATAGTACTGGTACTGTATTATAGTCAAATCTCTCTATAATCACACACTTGGGATACAAAAATGTGTGATAAAGAAAATATGCTTACATAAGAGGAGAGATCTGATTATACTTGTATAACGCATATCAACATGACTAATATTCATTTTTTAAGATTTAGCTATTTAAAACTTTTTGCCAAGATGAACCTCTTTTTCCCAAAGCAAAAA